TTTGAAGTTATGAACTTCTGTTATTTAGCGAGTACCTTTAAAATTTCAATGTATTCACTTGATTTAACAATAGTTAATCAATATCTCTACTTTTTCTGGTGGTAGAAGAACGTTACAACATTTGGAACTCTAATCATTCTATTCCTATATTGTGTATTGTTTTTGTCAATGTTTTCAAGTCTACCTTATTTTTAGATTGCAGTTTCTCATTTGTATATGAGTATTTGATTAATGATTATTTAGGAATGCATCTTATAATCCATGAAGTTTTATTTTATTTTATTTACTTTTTATTTTTTTGAGTTGTAGTCTCACTCTGTCGCCCAGACTGGAGTGCAGTGGCCGCTCCCGGCCACCGCAGCCTTGACCTGCTGGACTCTGGCGACCCTTCTACCTCAGCTTTCCAAGTAGCTGGAACTACAGGCGTGCGCTACCACGCCCGGATTATTTTTTGATTTATTGTAGAGATGAGGTCTCGCCAAGTTGCCCAGGCGGGTCTTGAACCCTTGGGCTCAGGCAATTCACTCACCTCGGCCTCCCAAAGCACAGGATTACAGACTGAGCCACCAAGCCCGGCCAATCCGTGAAATTTTAGATTTCTGTACTAGACTGCAAAAGAAGATACTATGTCTATTTTTGTCATCATTTAATTTAATAAGCTATACTGGGTTTGCCTTGCAGTAGAGATTTAATGTTCATTTATTAATGAATAAATTGTTTATTCTATTATAAAAAGGCCCCCATTTATTCATATGAAACACCCATCTCCAAGAACTTTCTAGTCAACTGATTTTAGATTTGATCTCTCCAATATAATCTGACATGGAAATTTGTAGAGACTATTGTGTAGCTGCCAGGTGTCAAGTATAGAGATGTTTAAGGCATGAGTCAACATGTGATTACATTCATTTGAAATAATGTGAAAGGAAGATTCATATTATAGAGTGGTAGGGATATAATGATTGAAATCAACAAGGAGTAGGGCCTTGGAGTAGTTGGATCTCTTGTTTTGTAATGGTAACATAACATAATCTGTCTTCTTGATAAATATAGGCTAGTTGAATAAGTGAAGGAATAAATAGATGAAGAGTGAACAGATGAATGAATGACAGAGTTTTAGTCTTTTACTATACAAGTAAATATCCAAGTAAACTTTTATTGAGATGTGAAAACAGTAATTTTTTTTGAAATCCTCATTTTCCTTCTGTAGTTTTCAGCTTCTTACATTCATTCTGTTGGGCTTAATGATTTAATTGCTGCTGTGGTCACTTGCCTTTAGACAAGGGGCAGGACATTTCTACTGATATCTACCTCAGGTAGCAAAGACACTTGCCTGTTCTAAATGGACCATGGTTGGGGCAGGGTATTTTCTCCACAGCTTTAGGTGCCATAGTCATGAAATAGGTTTGTCATAAGGTGGGAAAAAAAGGTTTTCTCACTTCTTCCAAACCAAGACTGGACCTTTTCCCTTGTATTTACTTTCTTGAGGTTTTCTTCATCCTTAAATCTGGATAATACACTCTTCCTATAGTTCTCTTGGGACTACTGCATGGGTAAAAATAAGTGTACATGGATGAAAATGAAAAGAGAATTTTAAATAATATAAATAAGTTTAGTTTCTTTGTTATAGTAAGGAAACCTGAGTTCACAATTTATATTTAATATCAACTACAATTGAAATAATAATTCATCTAGCCTTGCTGATGTCAAAAACACTGGGGAATGATTAAGACAATTGTGCATGCCTTGGCACAACTGTAATGTGCAATTTATACATTTTAATAAATTTGCAATGTATTTTTTATATCTAAGATGTGAATTAGTGAAGAAAAGAGTTGACAGAGTTAGAAGAAAGAAAAGGAAAATATTAAGAACAATAATAGAAGGACTAGTCTTTAATACAGAAATAATTATATTGGAAGAATTTGAATATGCTCTCAGTCTGTTAAGTACTGATTTTATCCAATGCTAATTCAATCTTTTTTCCCCTTCCCTTTTCCTTTAACGTTATTCTGAGATTTAACACAGTAGCTTCCATAATCTGTCTTCTTGATAAATGTAGGCTAGTTGAATGAATGAAGGAATAAATAGATGAAGAGTGAATAGATGAATGAGTGACAAAGTTTTAGTCTTTTACCATGCAAATAAATATCCTTCTAAATTTTATTGAGATGTGAAAACGGTAATCTTTTATTTTTTTGAATTGGAGACTCACTCTGTTTCCCAGGCTGAAGTGCGATGGCACACTCACGACCACCACAGCCTCGACCTGCTGGGCTCAGTTGATCCTTCAGCCTCAGCCTTCCAAGTAGCTGGAACTACAGGCACACACCACCATGCTCGGCTAAATTTTTTTATTTTTATTTTTTTATTTATTGTAGCGATGAGGTCTCACTAAGTGGCCCGGCTGGTCTCTAACCCATGGGCTCAGGCAATACTCTTGCCTTGGCCTCCCAAAGTGCTGGGATTATAGGCATGAGCCATCATGCCCGGCCTGAAAGCCGTAATCTTTAACAATTGTGGTAGTGTAGAGAAAAGAATTGATTTAGTCTAAAATTTGAACACTGACTTTTTTCAAAAGTTGGATTACACTATCTGGACTAAAAATTGAAAATAAGAATAAGGTGAAGTGAAATAACTTGAAATTAAAATGAATTTATGAGACAAATATTCTTTAATGTAGGAATAATTGCTAGGTTTATAAGATGATTTTTGAAAACACTTTATTTTCATTTTAATTTGGCTTGTTCTAAAATTTTGTCAAGTGGAAATTTTTGAACTTTCTACTTAAAACGAATACATTTTTATTTCTGAATTGTTGTAGTCCAATTTAGTGAAATTTAATCAATGGATTTTATTTTATGTCATAAGTTGAGTTTAATGATATAAATCTAGAAAATACTTTCCTCAACATTTTGGATCCATGTAATATATATTTTCTGTTGGCTTCTGTATTTGAATATTTGAGTATTGGTTTATGGTAGCCTTTTTATCCCCGATCAGTTACTTCTTAGTGTACAACTTATTCATTCGACTTTTAAAATCTTAGTAGCATCTTGTGTAAAATGAAGATGATACGTACTACTATATGAGGTTGTTGAAGTGATATAATAAACTTATATACTTAAAGTGCTTAGCACAAAGCCTAGGATGTGGTAGGTATGAAATAATTGGGAGCAACTATTTTCCCCCATTATGTTTTTTTTTTCCCTGCAGCTTTCCCCACAAATAAGCCAGACCAAGATGCAAGACATGTAATAAAAGTGGTAAGTGTTGCTCTAAGATTTGTATTTCACATATATTTGACCTTTTTATTTGCTTTATTTTTTAAAAAAATTTCTCACCATAATTTTTATAATTATTTACTTATTAGTAAGCCTTATATTATGATATATTTTCACATTTTCAATGTTACCACTAGAGAAGCTTTGCTTTTCTGTTTTGTCATCTATCCTGGTATCTTATCTAGATTGTATCTAACTATTTTTCTCTATCTCCCTATCTCTCTACTTTAGATGGTAAGTTCCTTAAATGTGGGCTTAGGGTTTTATTTCTGTTTGTATCCCTTGAACCTAGTACAATGAATTTATATAGTAGACCACTCAGTAAAGGTATAATGTATGAATGAACTACAAGGGTAGTTTGTAGTATATCACCTTGATGTACATGTTGGTCTATAGTGAGTGTCTGTATGTGTTTATGTATAGAGTTCTTAGTGCTCTTAGTGAGTAGTTTTCTTAAGAAGACTTACTTTTGTATGTAAGACTCTATGGGGATAGGAGACAATATGTTGTTTAAAAATTAGATTCTTCAAGTTTATTTAGTGTTTTGTGAGATTTTTAGTGGAAATCTGGTGCTTGTGTTTTAGAAAAAGTGATTCAAGTGCTGTTGTATATTACATATATACAATCATATTTTCAAAATTTGAAATGCCAATTTCATTTTATATTATATTTTTCCTAGTAAAATTAATTATTCTTTTTTCATAGGAATATCAAGAAAATGGCCCATTATTTTCAGAACTTAAATTTTATCAGAGAGCTGCAAAAAAAGACTCTAGTAAGTAAAATTAGCAAAACTAGCTACTTTCATATATCTGCTGCTAAAGTGAGTGTTGGTATTTTTGTCTTTTTCTGGCATTCTGGAAAATTCTTTTCAATAAGAAATTTTATTGTAAAGTGATACAGTTAACTGTTAGAACATAAAAGCAAGACAGATGGTACACAAATCTTAACATGACATACATAATGGGTTATATATTTTAAGTCAAATTTGTTTCTACTACTTTACGTAATATGTTGCTTCATCTAAGCTACCAAGAGTTGTTTAGGTATGAAAGATAGTAGAATAAATTATTTCTTACAATAAAATTTGAATTGGAAGTTTATAAGGAAAAAACATGAAAATGGGCAAAAGATACATGTATTAAAAAAGGAATAATTTTAGACTAGATTAGGGTAAGGTGTGTAGAGATGATACAACATTAGGATATATAAGAAAGTGTTAGAAACTTGAATGTTGGAAAATTAATTGGAGCTGGACACCAGATATAAGAATTACCAGTTAGGAAATTTGAATGTGAGATAAATATGAGCAGAGATGAAGGAGAATAACTGTATTTTATAAATACTCTATGATATAGATGGGTAAGTAAAACATTAGAGAAGTAGACAGGAATAATGAATGTATAGTTACATGTTTAGGATTAAGAATCATGTTGATTAATGTGTAGGATTAAGAATGATGGGTCTAGCCTCAGAAATTGATTTTATTTTCCTTAATAAAGCCTTCTAAACATTAAGACTGTAGTTTTTACTAACTGCTTAAACTATGTCAGAGTGACAAATAGATTCCATTAAATTAGATTGTTTATAAGTAGAACTGTCTTAAACATTAAACACATATGGTAGAAAAGTGAAAAGGTGATTAACCTACTTGATTATTTAAGTGGATTTGATTTTTTTTGTAAAATGTTTATTCAAAACAATTTCTGTATCATATAATTTCACAGTAAGAGTAAGGTGGTTTTTTTCTGTAATTTCTATTTTTTTCTTGTCTTCTGTGGCTTTAGATTTTAAAGTAATAGAGAAGAAAAGTGATCTCTCTAGTGGTCCTTTGTTAGTTAACACATTATATTTAGAAATTTAGCTAGCATATAAGGAAATGTTTTTTACGAATAGAAACATTTGTGTATATTATATCAATGCATTTTATAAGGCTATGACTTTTGTTTTTGTTATTATTGATTTAATTTTAATATTTCTATGTAGGATTTTTGTTAATGGTAACAAATAGTGTTTGAGGCCATTAGATTGAGACGCTTAATTTAAAATTTTTTGATCATCTAGGAAGGTCTAATTACTATTTTGGCTAGTTAAGTAAGTCAATATCTATGCAAAGGTAAGAAATATCTTTTAAATATGTAAATCTTTTTTGTTATTGTTAAATTTGTTTTTACAGTCAAAAAGTGGATAGAATGCAAACAGCTTGATTATTTGGGAATTCCTCGGTTTTATGGATCTGGTCTGACTGAATTTAAGGGAAGAAGGTAAAATGACATTATTGTAATCAATCTCTATAACTATTCCTTATGTGGTTTATTAGTTTATCATTGCTGTGTAACGAACTACCCAGAGCATATTGGCTTATAACAACAGACTTAAAATATCTCAATTTCTGTTGGTCAGGAGTCTGAAAGTGTCTTATCCAGATGCTTCTTGCTCAGGATCTCTCATAAGGATGTATTCAACTGTCTCAAGCTTTAACTGGGGAAGTATTTGCTTTCAAGGTCATTATGTGGCTTTTGGTAGGTGTAAGAAGATCTGCTTCTACATGCACTTGTGTGATTGTTGATGGGTTTTGCTTCCCGATCATTTGGGTCTCTGCATAAGCTACCTGAGTGCTATTAAAATTGCAACTGGTTTTCTCTAGAGCAAGTAATTAAGAAGGGAAAAAAGCCAGGCACAGTGGCTCAAGCCTGTAATCCCAGCACTTTGGGAGGAGGAGGCCAGAGGATTGCCTGAGCCCAGGGTTCGAGATCAGCCTGTGCAACTTGGTGAACCCTTATCTCTACAATAAACCAAAAAATTAGCCAGGCATGGTGGCCGTGTGCCTGTAGTTCCAGCTACTCGAAAGGATGAAGCAGAAGGATTGTGTGAGCCTAGCAGATTGAAGCTGCGGTGGCTGTGAACGTGCCACTACACTCCAGCCTGGGAGACAGTGAGGCTCTGACTTAAAAAAATAATAATAAAAAAAAAGAAAGAGAAAAAGAGCATGCAGAAGAGCATGTGTTCAAGAAAGAAGTCATAGTCTTTTTATAATTTAATCTTAAAAGTGATATTCTATCACTTCTGCTTTATTCTCTTTGCTAGAAGCAAGTTACTAGGCCCACCCCATATTCAAGAGAGGAGAATTAATTAAGCTTCATCTCCTGGGGAGAAGCACAACACAGAAGGTATAGAAATATTTTCAAAATCACCAAATATGGCTAGTCATCACCTATAAATAATTAATTGATTTGGAAAAAAAAAAAAACAAAACTTATTTGTTATGTGCCCATTTTGAGCCAGGGATTTTTATATACATTATCTTGTTTTGTCCTTTAAGTAGCCTTTATAATATAGGTGATATCACTTTTATTTCGTAGTTGAGAAAATAGGCTCTGACATCAGTGCTCTATTCAAATGGTTTTTAAATGCTATAAGTAAAAAAATTAAAACAAAATGAGCAAACAATAATTTTGAAACAAAATAAAGAGCTGCTAATAGGGGACTGAATGACTGGTTGAATCATGGTACACCCTTATCATGTAATCTATAGGTTATTAAATAAATCAATTAGTACTACACCAGTTGCCCTGGAAGGAATTCAGTGAGATATAATTGAAAAAGTAAGATAGATAAAGTATATACGATCACATTTTGTAAACAAAAACTCTTATATGTGTGTATTTGTGTGTTTATGTAAATATAGAATGGGGTATGTAAGTGAAGGGAGGGAGGAAAGAAAATGTTAGGATTGCCAAACAAAAGAAAAAAAAGAAGCACACTTGAAAAAGACATATTTATCAGTGTACAGAGAAAGTCATTATGATCTTATAAGACCAAGAAACAAACAAATATAAATAAATTTTTTTGTGTGGACAAATAATTTGTTCAAGGCCATATGGTGATGGAGTAAAAATGAATTAAATTCAGGACTATCTAATTTTAAAAAAACTTCTCTTTTCATAATCTAAAGTCTGAATGGTTCAGTTCAGTATTTTCTTTATCTAGAAAACTAATTGCAAAGTTAATACTGAGTATTATCTTTCTGCAAAAGAATAGCAGAATTAACAATGCATATTCATTCTCTAATGATTTAGATTGCATTATACCTGGCTGTTAGATTGGGATATTTTTCCTTGGTTTAAAATGCATTAATAGACAGCTTCAAGCATTACTTTCTCAGGAAGATCTCTTTTTGATATTTCTTTCTTATAGTTACAGATTTATGATAATGGAAAGACTAGGAATAGATTTACAGAAGATCTCAGACCAGCATGGTACTTTTAGAAAGTCAACTGTACTGCGATTAGGTATCCGAATGGTAAGAAGGAATAACTTATTTCACATACTCCATTTTCAGAGTATTTACTTGTTACAGTGTACAAATTTTTGCCCTTTGCAGAATTATCAGAATGAAGGATTATTGCCCTAGAAATATCAGTTATTGAGAATAAAGGCTATTTTGGTGAAATTGATAAGCATACATGCTATAAGTGACAGAATGTGTTGTGTTTGGCACTGCAAACTCAATTAGGCATTGGTTCTGTGTTCTGATCTTTTTTTTCTCCTCACAGCTTTGTTTTACGTACCAGAACAAGCTTTCATTGCTGTAAGAATAACCTTTCTTTTGTCAGTTACACTTGTAACAATGCAAATTATGGCAAAATATATTATTTTCCATTCTAAACATGTGATGATATGGGGGCACTATAAAGTTTTTATTGTGAGTTTGAGATGATAGCAATAATTGACTGTGGCAATTAATAAAATATGCTTTGCCAAATAAGAAGCAATGAAATCTTAATACCACCCCATACACATTTGTTTATAGAACATGTTTGCCTTATTGTGTTTTTGTTTGGTTTGCTTAAGTCTCATTTTTTTCCATTTGAAGTAAAATGAAGCTACTTATGCCAGGTTGGGATGTGACAAATAGAATGCGTTAGTTTTCCTATTCACGCATCCATTCAACCAGTATATATTTATTGAATACTAGGTGTATGTAACTTGCAAGACTGAAGGACCTTAAAGATAAAACTGAGGAGTTTTCTATAGTTTATTATACAGAGGAAGAATGCCTTTCCCTGCGCTCATGGACATGGTATTTTGTTCTGAGGTTCTCAAGACTTGGTTTGTAATTATTGCCTGAGTGAGGAATTGCTGAGTGAGCTTCATGATTATTTCACCATAGGTCTCCAATTTTATGCAGTGTTTTTCCTCTTTGCATGGTATAGTTTTGCCACTAGTCTATCGGGAGCATAGGCATATGCATTTTCGAATCCTGGATTCCTTCCATCAGAGGTTCAATGAAAGCACTTGATATTTGAGGATCATTTTGTTCACCTTTTTCTAGTGTGAGCAACCAGAAGATGTGGTATTTTAGAATAGCATATTAGCTAGTAATTGTGAAACTTTACCGTTAATATGAAAAAAAAAAAAAACCCATGTTATTCTGTATTCAAAATGCCCAAGTAGATTATGACTTCTAAGTAGATAGCAGCATAACCTTCTATTATCTATTTCTTCTCACAGTTGGATGTACTGGAATATATACATGAAAATGAATATGTTCATGGTGATATAAAAGCAGCAAATCTACTTTTGGGTTACAAAAATCCAGATCGGGTAAGTATGTGATAAGCTTTTGCTTTCAGTAAGGGTCCTCAAATACCATACGAAAACATTCAAAAAACAATCTCCTAACCCAGAAGAGTACACAGATAAGGGGTTAACATGATGAATGTTGAATTTATCTTACCTTGCTTATCTAATTTAATCCTTGCACCAAACTAATGAGTAATTAGAATGAGAAACTGAGAGTCAGAGGGGTTAAATAATATGTTAATGGGCACAAAGTTAAGAAGTGACTGAACAGAAATTTAAATTTCTGAGCAAATATAGATAAACAAAGAACCATCAAAATCCAATGGGAGTAGGAATGAGTTTATGTAGAGAAAAAGCTGTCATAGTTTCTCTTCTCTTACTATATAACCAATTAAATTTGAAGTGGAGAAACTTTTCCATTAGAATTTTCTTTGATAATGGAAATATTTTGTTTGATTGTTTAGTATAGTGGCCATTAATAACTCTTGGATGTTTAGTCCTTGAAATGTGACTAGAACAGTACCAACTCCTGGCAAATACATGGAGCAACAGGAACTCTTATTCATTGTTAATGGGAATATAGAATGATGTAGCCACTATGGAAAACAGTTTGGCAGTTTCTCAGCAAACCAAAACATTCTTACCATACTATTCAACAATTACACTTCATACTATTTACCCAAGTGAGCTGAAAACATATCAGCCAGGTACAGGGGCTCACGCCTGTAATCCCAGCACTTTGGGAGGTGGAGGTAAGAGGATTGCCTGAGTTCATGGGTTCCAGACCAGCCTAAGCAACATGGAGAGACCTTGTCTCTACAATAAATCAAAAAATTTCTGGGCATGGTGGTGCACACCTGTAGTTCCAGCTATCTGAAAGACTGAGGCGAAAGGATCACCTGAGCCCAGCAGGTTGGGGCAGTGGTGGCCGTGAGAATGCCACTACACTCTAGCCTGGGTGACAGTGAAACTGACTCAAAAAAAAGAAAAGAAAAGGAAAGCATATGTCTACACAAAAACCTGTATATGAATGCTTATAGTAGTTTTATTTATACTTATCAAAACATTGAAGCAACCAAGATGTTCTTCTGTAGATGAAGAAATAAATAAACTGTTATATACATCCAGATAATGGAATATTAGTAGTAAAAAGAAAATAACTATCTAGCCATGAGAAGACATGGAAGAAACTTAAATGCATATTGATATGTGAGAGAAGACAATCTGAAAAGTCTGTATACCGTGTAATTTCAACTATGTGACATTCTGGAAAAGGCAAAAACTATAGAGACAGTAAAAAGATCAATGGATACCTGGGGTTAGAAGAGAGTGGAGGGTTGAATGGATGAACAAACTGGATTTTTAGGACAGTGAAGCTACTCTGTATGATACTATAATGGTGGATACATGATATTATACTCTTGTCAAGACCCATAGAATGCCCAACACCAAGAATGAACCTTAATGTAAACTAGGGACTTTGGGAAATAATGATGTGTCACTGTAGGTTCATCTGTTGTAAAAAAAAAAAAGGCCACTCTGTTGAGGACATTGATGTTGATAGAGAGAAGGTTTTTTGTGTGGAACCTGGAGGTATATGGGGATTCACTGTACTTTCCGTTGAATTTTACCTCAGTTGCCCTAAATTTACCTATATTAAACCTAGAAGTTTTCTAAAAAATAGTCTGTTTTTAAAATGTGGCTTACATTTTTAAGTATTAAAGCATTAATATTGAGTAATTGAATTTTTAATTTAAATAGCAATGTAATTTGTTGCTACTGTATCATTACAGGTTTAAAGAGTTAAAATTGAGTTTATAAAAAAATTAGAAAAATTATAGCTGAATATTTAACTGGTATCTGGGTGAGTTAAAGAAATTTTAAAATAAAAATGCAAGATAAAATATCAATAGAAAATATGGACATTTAAGCATTTTTAAAGGTCTGTATATTTTAAAAATTGAAAACTGAAAGGTGAATGAGAAACTAGGAAACATATTTATGACAAATATTTGAGAATATCTAGTACTAAAAAATTAGTAAGGAAAACATCAAATACTTCTTAAAGCAATTCCAAATGAATGAATGTATAGAAAAGAAGAATTACGACTATCTAGAAACAGATGTATAAAGGTTACCTTCAGTAAAAAAGAAAAGATAGGGAGATCATAGCAATGAGACACCATTTATAAAGGACTTATCAAGCTGAAAAATTCTAAAATAATAATCTGATAATATTGCGGCTGATGAGGATACAGGCACTTTTAAATTGCCAGTGGGAATGTAAATTAAATGGGAATAGGATAATACATTACAGTAATGGAAGGGCAATTTGGCAACACATATTAAAAGCTTTTAAAAGTCTGCATACTGACCAGGTGTGGTGGCTCAAACCTGTAATCCCAACACTTTGGGAGGCCAAGGAGAGAGGATTGCCTGCATCCAAGGGTTCAAGACCAGCCTGGGCAACTTGGTGAGATCTTGTCTCTACAGTACATCAAAAAATCAGCCGGGTGTAGTGGCGTGTGTCTGTAGTTCCAGCTACTTGAAAGGCTGAGGCAGAAGGATCACCTGAGTGCAGCAGGTGGAGGCTGCGGTGGCGGTGAGTGTGCCCCTGCACTTCAGCCTGGGCGACAGAGTAAGATTCCGACTCAAAAAAAAAAGTCTGCATACTTTTTAAAGGTTAGATTTGTTGAAGTATAATTTACAAACAGCAAAAGTCAACCTTTTAAATGTACAATTTGATGTGTTTTGACACATGTATGTGTGTGTGTATATATATCATGTAACCACCACCACCATCAAGATAATAGAGGATTTCTTTCATCTCCAAAGTTCTCTCATTCCTCTTTAGAGTCAGCCCTCTTATCTTATCCCTAGCCCCTGGCAATGATTTTTTTCCTTATATTTTTTACATTTTTCAGAAAAATTCTTTAAATGGAATTGTAAGGTATGTATTCTTTTTTGTCTCTTTGCTCACTTAGCATAATGCTTTTGAGATTTATCTTTGTGGTTCATTAGTAGTTTATTCCTTTTTGTTGCTGGGTAGTATTCCATTGAAAACTACTATAATTTCTATTCATCTGGGTTGTTTCCAGTTTTTGATAGTAATGAAAAAAGTTGCTACAAGTTAAGCATTCATGTACAGGCTTTTTTGGAGGGATATATTTTACTTTTTTCTGGATAAATAACTCAAAGTGGAATTTCTGGGTCATGTGGAAGAATATGTTGAACTTAGAAATTGCTAAACTGTTTTCTGGCGTGATCACACCATCACACATTCATTTGCTCCACATCTTGGTTTCATTAGTTTTTTAAAATTTCAGTCATTATAGCAAACGTGTGGTGATATCTGGTAGCTTAAATTTGCATCAGTCGACTCTAATGACTAATGATATTGAGCAAATTACATGTTCTTATTTGCCACTCATGTATTTTCTTTGGCTAATGTGCCCATTTTAAAATTGGGTTCTTTTCTTAATGATTTGTAACAGATCTTTATATTTTGAGGATACAGGCCTGTTGTTAGATATTTATTTTGCAGATATTTTTGTACTTGTGGCTTATCTTTTCATTCTCTTATCAATATCTTTCAAAAAGATGACATTTTAAACCAGGCATGGTGGCTCACGCCTGTAAACCCAGCACTTTGGGAGGCAGAGGCAAGTGGATTGTCTGAGCTCAGGGGTTCAAGACCAGCCTGGGCAACTTGGTGAGACCTTGTCTCTACAATAAATCAGAAAAATTAGCCAGGTGTGATGGTGCATGCCTGTGGTTACAGCTGCTTGGAAGGCTGAGGTGGAAGGATCACCTGAGCCCAGCGAGTCAAGGCTGCGGTGGTCGTGAGTACTCCAGCCTAGGCAAAAGAGTGAGACTTCTACAAAAACAAAAACAAAACAGACATTTTAAGTTACGATGAAGTCTAATTTATTATTATTTTTTAAAATTTTATGATTTGTGCTTCTTGTGACCTAAGCCAGGTTACATATGTTTTTTCATAAGTTTTCTTCAATAAGTTTTTTAGAACTCTTAATTTGAATTTCTGATCTAGTTCAAGTTAATTTTGTTTTTGGTGCAAGGTAAGAGCCAAGATTTATATATTTTTTGCATACATATATCCAGTTGTTCCAGCACCATATGTTGGAATTCCCCAGTGAGTTGCCTTGGCATTTTTGTCAAAAATTAGTTTACCATATATATATGGGTCTGTTTCCAGATTCTCTCTATTCTAATATTAAACAGTCAATATCACAATTATCTTAATTAGTGTAACTTTACAGTCTTGAAATTAGTGTGAGTCTTCCAATTTTCTTCTTTTTCCAAAATTGTTTTGGCTATTCTGGCTGCTTTGTAAATTCATATATATTATTTTAGAATTATTATTATTATTATTACTACTATTTTGAGTTGGAGTTTCACTCTGTCACCCAGGCTAGAGTGCAGCGGCATGCTCATGGCCTCTGCAGCCTTGACCTGCTGGACTCAGGCGATCCTTCCATCTCAGCCTTCCAAGTAGCAGGAACTACAGGCGTGCATTTCCACACCTAGCTTATATTTAGATTTATTATAGAGATGAGGTCTCATCAAGTTGCCCAGGCTGGTCTTGAACCCCTGAACTCAGGCAATCCTCTCGCCTCAACCTCCCAAAGTGCTGGGATTACAGACTTGAGCCACTGCGCCTGGCTCTAAAATTATTATTTTAGGAAAAAACTGGGCCGGCTGCAG